GTCCGCGTCGGAGTATCCGCGAAAGTCGATCTTGTCGCTTGGTTGGTAGCAGACCCCGTGCGACTTGGTGCCTTGAAGGTAGCGGAAGATGCGCTTTACTGCAACCCAGTGCTCTTGTTGCGGATTCTCCATGAAGCGCGACACGTAACCCACAGCATACGCTATGTCTGGGCGGGTCGCGGTCATCAGGTGCATCAGAGCACCAACTGCTTCGCGAAACGGAGCGTCCACCTTGGTCCCATGGTTGCTAGGCACAAGTGGAGAGCTCAAGTCGACTGGACTAACAGTGGCCTTGCACTCGTCCATACCGAAGCGCTTAAGGATGTCGTCGACATAGCGGCGCTGGCACATGGTGACACTGCCGTCAGGTCCGTCGACCAATTCGATGCCCAGCACAAAAGTGCACTTGCCGCTGTCGGTCATCTCGAAGCGCGTCTTGAGATCGGCCTTTGTCTGCGCGATCAAGTCGAGTGAGCTGCCTGTCACGAGCACGTCGTCCACGTAGACCAGCACCAGCACGCAGTGACCGTCGACCATCTTGATGTAGAGACACGGGTCGAATGCCGATACTTGAAATCCGATTGAGCACACGAAGTCGTCGAAAGTCTCGTTCCACACGCGCGACGCTTGCTTGAGACCGTAGATCGCTTTCACCAACTCGAGACAGTCGAAGTCGCCATCCAATTCAACACCTTCTGGAATGTTGCAGAACACCTTTTCCTTCATCACTCCGTACAGGAATGCCGTCACCACGTCAAGTTGGTCGAGAGGCCAGTCGAAGTACTTGGCGATCGCAATTACCATGCGCAGTGTCACGTACTTGACCACCGGCGAGAATGTTTCGGTGTAGTCGATTCCGTACTTCTGCTTGAAGCCCTTCGCAACTAAACGCGCCTTGAACTTCTCGATCGATCCGCTTGCTTTGCGCTTGATCTTGAACACCCACTTGGTCCCAATAGCGCGTTGGTTACTTGGCAACTTGGCAGCACGAAAGACACCGCGAAGTCGCATCGACTCGAGCTCGGCCCGAATGGCCTTGCGCCAGTGAACTTGATCAGGTCCGCTGATCGCATCCTGAAACGTTGCAGGCTCAGCCAGATCAGTCGCCTCCACTGCATTAGCACTTGCACGCCAAAATGTTGGAGGCGTCGAGTCATCATCTTGATCGTAGGCGCCCGCATCTTCTTCGTCATCAGGCGACGTGTCGTGAGCACTTGATCGTTGTTTCTGGTGACGGTTGGAGACATGTTCCGGCGCACTATCCTGTTCCAAACCAGTTCGAGGGCGAGCTGAACGTGACATGCCGGGTCTTGCTTCACTCTTGCGCTTGCCAGTCTGCTTGTAGGTGGTCTGACGCACGTCGTCATCGTTGATCGCCAGGAGGTCGAGGTCCAACTCCGCATCTTCATCGTCTTCACTTGATCGGTCCATCGAAAAGTCAAAAGTCGATTCGTCGAAGGTGATGTCACGACTGATCACCACTTGGCCCGCCTCAATGTCGTACACTCGGTAAGCCTTTGACGCTTCTTCGTAGCCCATGAACATCCCTGCACGAGCCTTCGGGTCCCACTTCAGTCGCTTCTCCCTCGGTGTCAGGATGTAAGCTCGACATCCAAACACGCGCATGTGCTTGACACTTGGTTTCGACTTGTACACGATCTCGAACGGAGTCTTGTGGTCGATCTTGGGTGAAGGCAGGCGGTTCTTGATGTAGATCGCCGTCATTGCCGCTTCAGCCCAGAAGCACTTCTCCAGTTTTGCATGGTGTAGCAAGCTGCGTCCGATCGTGACAATGGTCCGTATCGCGCGTTCTGCGGTGCCGTTGGTCTGGTGTGCATACGGCACCGTGACCTGCTGCTCGATACCTTGATCTTCGTAGAAGGTCTTGATCGAGTTGGTCGCAAACTCATGCGCTCCATCATGCCGAACGAACTTGATCTTCTTGCCGAACTGTGTCTGGATCTTGAGAATGTAGCTCCTGATGTAGTCTTCACTCTCAGACTTGGACCGCAGACAGAAGCCCTTCATGCACCCGCTTGCTTCGTCAACCACAAGCAGCAAGTATCTGCTGCCGCCGATCGAGACTTGTTCCATTGGCCCGCAGATGTCAAAGTGCAGCAACTCGAACACACCATATTGACGCTTGTCACGGTTGGTTGGGAATGGTTTTTGGACCATCTTCCCTTGCTGGCAACCGCGACACACACTTGGCCCAGTCGAGTTGGGAGGCGCCTTGGCTTCCTTGATCATGCCGGTGGCCACCATCTTGCGCAGAACATCGAGGGGTGCATGACCCATGCGCGCGTGCAAGTCGATGGTCCCGTTGCGTGTCGCTGCATTCGCCGATCGTCGAGGAGTTCGCAGCCAGTAGAGTCCATCGACGAGATCCGCTGTTGCCACGACTTGCGTGGAATTCTTGCGCGTTACTTGCATCTTGGACCCATCGAACATGACTTGGAACTTGCCACCCTTGTTGATCTGCGTCACCGAAAGTAGATTCTTGCTCATACTTGGCACGAACAGCGCGTCCTTGATCTCGATGTCGCGTTCGTCGCCATTGGGCAGAACCACCCGTTCCATGATGGTTCCCACACCCTTGATCGCAGCCTTGCTGCCATCAGCCACCGATAGCTCGCCTTCCTCTCGCTCATTCAGGCTTGCAAACTTGGCCTTATCGTTGCAGATATGATGCGTCGCACCGCTGTCGACCGCCCACATCCCTGGCATATTCTTGCCCGTTGAAAGTCCAGCCTCCAGCGAAACCGCAAACGCAACTCGATCGTAGTCGTCGTCGTAGTTGCTGTTGGTTCGCCACTGAACGTTGTTGGCTCCGCGTCCACGAGCATTGTTGCCGCCGCGTCGAGCTCCTCCTTGATTTTCGTCCTTCTGCTTGGTCCAGCACCGCTCCGCCGTGTGCCCCAATTTTCCGCAGTACGTACACTGGCGAGGTTCACGCTCAGCACTGAACGCCTTCGCCGCGTCTTCAGTTTTCACCGATGTCGTTTTGTCACCTTGCCTCTTGATGTGCTCGTTCGTGAGCACTCTCACGACGTCTCGCGATCGCAGTTCCGCGCTGCTCATCTCCAAGTTTAGCACGACGTTCTCGTAGCTCTTGGGGAGGCTGCGCAACAAGCAGATCGCCACGTCCTCGTCCTCCATCTTGGCGCCGATGCTGCTTAGCTTCGCGCTGATGTTGAGGACTTCATTGCAATGATGCATCACATTGCCGCCTTCCTTCATCTCCATGCTGAACAGCTGGCGCTTCAAGTAGATGCGCCCAGCCTTCTGCGACCCGCCGTAAAGCGTCTTCAAACGCGCCCACGCGATCCACGCCTCCTCACAATCATCGACGATGTGATGGTAGTCGGCGTCCATGTGGAGCAACATCAGTCCGAACGCAATGTTGCTCGTCTTGACGTAGTCGTCCATGGCGCGAGGGTCCGCGAAGGTCGGCGACGTCTCCCGGTTCACCACGTGCCACGTCGACTTGGTCAGGAACACGCCACGCATGTAGCGGCTCCATGTCGCGTAGTTGTCTCCGTTGAACTTGTCGATGGAGATCTTGGTGGTGGCATCATGAGCAGAGGACATGGTGCTTGGGCTCATAACCTGTTGAAAGGTGTGAAGCTTGACGACCGAAACTGGGAAGGATGCTGGGAGTCCACTCGGAAGACCGGAGAAGACACTTGGGGGGTAGATGGAAGATTGGAAAGTGATTGATTATCGGAGCTTATCTGCCTACGCCCTGATTTATATGTGTCCACATATAAATCAGTCGGCGCGTCTAATCACCCTACTCGTCTAATCATTCCTGCGTAATTACCGACGTAAAAACTATCCCGTAAAAACTACGCTTAAGTTCGGATTGTATCGGTAACCCTCAATTATTATAGTTAAGCTTCTTACTGAATCATCTTTTGTCTTAATATAACATATCAAACTACCGTCTTCTATGTGGGTATCTTGCTCACCACGCATTGCGCGCGTCCAGCAGCGATTGGTGGTTGATTTGGTTGATGTAGATGTCACATCAACCAAGAAGTGGAGCACCCACGAATATTACCCTTGGGAGCAATATTCCGCCAACATCACCTCTTCTCGATTGATGTTGATTGAATATTATCAAAATAGATAATACGCAAAAGCTGATACTTTTATCAATTTGTATGTAACGGGCTCACCCTGCGACATGGTCGGTCTCGACGCACTGACATTGGATACTGATGCTCGCGTCGGGCATCATATCTGTCATATGGCAACTTTAAAGTTCGATGAAATTATGGAGGAATGATAGATTTTTCGTTTTACCAACTACCATAGTGCAAAACGAAGTGATAAATGGATACGACAGCCCATTTCGACACCAATAAAACCTACGGTAATGCTCACCTCTTTAAATTGCAAGATGTTGTGTGATTTTTAACGCCTAAATTGATACTTTTCAACATGCTTTTGTGCACGTGTAGTTTACGCCGCTGGTGTATTTAATTCCATTTTTGGACAATTTGGTACACTTTCTTCTTTCGTATCTTACGGTGCATGTTCTAGTTTCTCATATAGTTTCGGTGTCTATTTTATGTCTCGCCACAATAAGTTCGGTTGGTCTGAATCCTCCAGTGAAGCAAAACACAAGCTTCAATGATCGTGCAAAGTGGTAAACCTAATGAAAGATCTTTTGCACAAGTAGCGCAAGCCTCCACGTGTCACGGTCTACGGTCGCCTCTTCTATGCACTGACGCCGATTCGTCCGTTCGGTTCGTGCCCTCATGCCCCGTTCTTGTCATCGTCGTGTCGTAAGCGCCTCTGCCATGCCCATCGTGGTCTCTGTGTCGCTCTCGTTCTAATATACAGTCTCCTCTGCTCCGAAAAAAGGTTACTCGACATGATCCCAAATTGCGCTCCCCTCTCTTCCCGGACCCTTTTTTCATCCGTGCATCATATTTAGCCGGCCGACCCCTGCGCTATTCTCCTTCTTCCTCGCGTCTCGGCAGCCCGACCGCATGCAGCGCCTCCTCTTCGCGTCGAGTCTCGCGCTCCTCGCGTCGCTCCCGTGGGGCGCCTCGAGTCCAGCGAAGAGCCCGAAAGATAAAGGCACGCCGCTGTTCCCCGACGGGCACCCGAACATCACGTTCTTGACCGACAAGAACTGGGACGAGCACATGGCACTGACTGACAAGCCGTGGCTGGTGGACTTTTATCACCCATTGTACGTACAGGAGGGCGTGGCAAGTGGTCGTTGGTGCAACGGGTCTTGTTGCTGACGGTTTTGCTGCTCCTTTGACTTGTGCTCTGCCGACGCTTTTTGTTGCAGCTGTCCGCACTGCAAAGAGTTTGCCCCCCGCTTTGTGAAAATTGCTGCCGATTACAAGGCAGAGGGAAAGTACCATGTGGGTGCCATGAGCTGCATGGACCACGTCAAGTGTCGTCGGGTGGCCATCACGGGCTTCCCGACGCTCATGGCTCTGAATTTTGATGTGACCAAACCCGCGGCGGAGAACAAGCGGATCGTGGGGACCCACACGGTGCAGGAGGTTAAGGACTACGTCGACAGCGTCGTTGCTGAAGTGGCGTTCAACACAACGGGAACGTGGCCCCCTGGGTACACGCCTCCGGTGATTAGTCAGCCGAAGAAGAACGCCACCAAGGGCGCAAATGAAACGTCAGTGGTCACTGAGATGCCAAAGGTAGCGATCTGGGAAGAGTCGACGCTTCCAATGAACCAGACGACGCGCCTTCAGGACGCAGCTTCCGCGTTTGTGTTTGGACTGAAACAGGGCGTGTTTATGGCTAGTGACGTCATGAATGAAGAGGAGCTGGATGCTTTGAAAGGCTGGTTGAAGCTGGTGTCAAGGACCTTTCCTGGTGCAATCAACCGCAAGGTGATCACGTCGTTGTACGAGCAGCTGAAGGATAAGGAGATGCTGGACTTCGACTCGTGGGACGCGATGTTGAAGTCATGGCAGGAAGGCTCTGTTGCGGCTTTCAAGGCAGAGGAAGATCGGCTGAGTGTGGCTACGGGAGCTGAGGTCGCCGAATGGCAGAGGTTGAGCGACTTGTTCCTCGGACAAGGGGCAACTTATCGCGCATGCGCACTGTACACATGCGGGCAATGGACTATGTTTCACATGCTGACGATGAATCCGCCTGAGAACGGGACACGCAGCGACGAGCTCATGGTATCTGTCGCAGCGTCGATTCGTCGATTTGTCAAGCACTTTTTCGGGTGCGCGGACTGCCGCGATCACTTTTTGACGGAGAATACCATTGAGGTTGTCAAGAAGATCAAGGACGCGGAAGACAAGCCACTGGCGTTGCGTCGTTGGTTGTGGGAGCAGCACAACGCGGTCAACAAGCGCGTACACCACCCGATTTGGCCAAAGCCGGAGTTTTGTCCGACTTGTGGCACTGAAGGTTCATGGGAGGTGGTAGAGGTGGACGAATGGCTAAACCACACTTATGGGTACCGAGACGTGGGGTTCTCTTTGGCGGAGAAAGTGGACAACGTTTCGAGACCGACAATTGTATCGCTACGTCACGAAGTCAAGACAGAGGCACCGGTCGCTGCGGCTGCTGAGAAGGAGTTGATGGAAGCACGCGCGGTCGAGATCGCCGGTGAGAAAGCTAAGAATGAGACAGTGGAAGCGAGCGCGGTTGATGTCGTTGAGGAGAAAAAAGCTGAGAGTAAGGTGACGGAAGCGAGCGAGGACGAGACTGCCGGAGAGAAGGTCAAGGAGGCGTGGCCTTCTATAGCGGAGCCCAAGGGTGGCTACGACTACCGTCCAAAGGACGCGGAGCTCGGTATCGAAAATGCAGCCAACACGAAGGAGCTTGTTGCAAACACGAAGACTGAGCCTGAGGGCGGACTGCAGGGCGCCGCTGCTCCGCGTGTGACGCTTTTTGCATGGTACATTATCCCCGTTGCCGCGGTGGGTGGCTACTTGTTGTTTGCGCGTTCCCGTGCCACGAAGCAGAGAATTTATCGCCAGGTTCAGCGTGGCTGAGGTAGACACAAAGGCCGCTGACAGAACGGTGGACGCTCCACCAGGCGCGAGTGCATTCAGCTTGTGCACGTGTACATTTTCGCACAAGACATGACGCGCCTTTGGTATATGGATAGTGTGCAGTTTGTCTCCACTCTTTTCCGTCACGTCCTCAAGCACACGGTCGTGACACACAGTCGTAGTACACAGTCACTTCATTGCATCTATATGGTTTCTGTCAAAAGTAGTGCAGACCCTGTGGCTCTACGAGCACGTGGCGAGCTGCTCACTCCCCGTCACCTCGACGCCAAACCCGTGCGGGTCGAAGCTCGTCTCTGTCGTCACTAGTAACCGAACTGAGCGCGCGTTCAGATCACGCACGATCTGCATTGCCATGCCAAAGATGCTCTGACGAGCCATAAGCTCGCCGCTGATCTGCAACATCTGTGCCGAGCCGTGCATGTAGATGAGCATGCCGTAGCCATGACGGACGATGTGCTGCTGCGCCCACTGCGCATGTAAGCTGGCCACAAATCCATCGTCCACCAGGAACACCGGCACGTCGGTCTGATCGTGTACGTCACCGTACACTAGCGCATGGTACATGCCGCCATCCTGCACAAGTGACTTGTACTCGACACTGGCAAAGCGTCCAGCCGGAGTCGCAACGCTCGCCTCGGTCGTCTCCATCCGCTGCACCAGCGTCTCGGTGCAAGAGCGATAGCGAATGAGGTCCGAGATTGTGATCAGCGGCACTGCAAACTGCTTGGAGAACTCTTCCAGCTGCGGACGGCGCAGCATTCGTCCGCTCGCGTCGTTCATCTCACAAATGTAACCAACGGGCGCGACTCCCGCCAGGCGCGTGAGGTCCGTTGCAGCTTCCGTGTGCCCCGCACGCACCATCACACCTCCGTGTTGGGCCAGCAACGGGAAAATGTGCCCAGGGCGAGTGAACGCGGACGATGTCACGGCGGGATCGGCCAGCGCACGGATCGTCCGGGCCCGATCCGCAGCCGAGACGCCCGTGGAGTTGCCCTCTTTCGCGTCCACAGTCACAGTGAACTTGCACTTGTGCACCTCCGTGTTGTCGGTCACCATGAGTGGCAGCTGCAGCGCGTCGAGACGCTCCGAGAGCGCCGGGACGCACACAATGCCCGTCGAGTGGCGCAACATGAACGCGACGCGCTCTTCGGTCGCGAACGCAGCGGCGCCGATGAGGTCGCCTTCATTTTCCCGGTCTTCGTTGTCCATGACGATGACGAGCTCTCCGTGGCGGATCCGGTCGAGCGCGTCGTCGATCACAGCAGTGACACTCGCGTCGTGCGCGAGTCGATTGCTGCTGGTCGTAAATGAGCTGCTGGTGGATGTAGCCATAGTGGAAACGTCGGTGACGGTGGCGACGTGTGGGGATAGAGCGCTATTGGAGACTGCCGAGTTGGCGTGACGGGCGTTGAAAAGCGTGTGGTCGAGTGGCCAATGAGAACAAAGAGGAGGCAGTATATGACCAATGAGCGAGAGGCATCGACACGTGACGTTTTTACCGGGAGCTGGACGGGCGCAGGGAGCGAAAGAGCTGTTTTTCGGTCGTTTTTTGTGGTGCGTCGTCGACAACGCCAAGAAGTCGACACGTCGAAAGATTGTGCAGCTCACAGTCTTTTTGTGGCTGATGTGCAACAGTTGCAACGGTTTGCACAGACGACGCAGTGGCTTCGGCCTGTCACATGGCCATCCGATGGCGCGCAGTATTCATAGATCGCAGCGCACTCTCTGGAACTTGCCGTCCTATCATCAGCTTCAGAACACATGCTCCTGTGAAATGGCAGTCGCACTCACTTGGAATCGATCAGTGGGACAGGAGCCGCTGAGACTCGGATCGCTTTTGCAGTTGTTTGCAGACCGGAAAGAGTCGAACGTCATAGCACGAGACCGTATAAGCGCTTGTTTGGCCTATTACACATCTGCCCTCGTGCAGAAAGAAGAACGTCCTTCTCATGCGAACAAACAAACAGACGAACGAACGAACGAACGAACGCCACTTTTTTTTTTTTTTTTTTTTTTGTGATCAGATGGTCTATTAACATGGGTTTAGCTATGTACAAGATCTCTGGTAAATGCGGAGCCAAACGGCCAGCCCCGGTTTGTCCGAAGGGTGGCTTTGGCTAGCCCTTGACATGCCTGGAGGCCCGTCAGGTGCTCGTTCGAGCAACTCGATGCTGGATACTAGCACGGCGCCCATGATGGCTGAAGCCTCTTTTCTGTGCTCTCTGGTCGCAATCGCGCGAAGTTGGCAGACGCATGCAGTCCAAAAGCTCTGCGTGGTTCCGGGGAGGTCGGACACGACTGTGCTGTAGACAGCTTCATTGCGGTCGGTCCACAGCCTTGTAAGACACATCGTCGCAAGAATGTGCCACATTCTCTTCCAGACGTGGTCGGCCATTTCCCAATCCTCCTGAAAGCGGTCTTTCAGTATTGCTGTGCGGTGCTGTGGTACGTGCGACACTCGTCGACTTGCACACGCTTGAAAAAATTGCTGAGTGCGCTGTCGTGATGGTCGCTCGCCTGTCCATTGACTAACGAGTTTACCCCAGAGAGCTTCAGCATACGCGCACTCCCAGAATAAATGAGCCGGAGTCTCCTTTTTTCCCCGACAGCCCGGTCGCTTCCTACATTCGTCGTTCTCGGACCGCCCAGCGTGATGGAGATTAAGTTGTCGAGTCACGATCCTGTACCCGGTCCAGACTTGAAAATCAGTCAGGCCATGGCTATGATCCCATGCTTGCTGAGGTGTTTGGCTGAGGACTGCTCGTTGCCAGTCATCCGTGCTTGCGCGTGTTTCTAGCCGATCTAAAAAAGCTCCTAACCGCCGGGCTAGAATTTTTTTGTGAAACGCAAACGCTTGTCGTTTAAGACACGCTATGACGCACTCGGAACGAACGCCACTTGTCTTTGACTTTTTGCTGAATGAGCGCTTTTCAATCTCGTCGTGTACATTGGTGGCAGCGGTCTCGCAATTCGACATAAAAATGGGTACACTCCAAAGCGAGTGTGGCGCACACAACCTGATCAAGTGCGCCTTTCGCAGACCCACTCAGCCGCCGAGTCGATGTCGAAAACAGTGACTACCGTGTAGCATCAATCGCCCTAATCGTATGTGCACCACATCATTTCGCTCGTGCTCATGGCAAGAGGACTGCGGCTCGGCTCCAAGGCCGACGTGCTCAAGAACCTGCGCTCGATGCTGCGTGTGGCCCGCACGCGCAGCTCGCAGACGTCCCTTCGCGACTGCAAATTCTCGCAGCATATCCTCGCACAGGTCCGACTGCATTGCCGTCTCTGAGACCGCACGAAACAGCTGTCCTGTTGTGTTGGTGTCCATACCGTATGGTCTAAAACTATCTCAATCGCTGTATCAATTTGTGGCTACGACAGTTCCGTGCACGGCAGCACGAGAATGACCGCTCCAAGATGCGCGCGTACCGAGCAGAAGCCAGCGACTATTTGATGCTGCTACGAGGCATTGAGGAGCAGCGTGTACGTCCCCCCACGTCCTTGTCGAGGAACGTTTTGCGTCGCCTTTTCAAATGGATAAGTCGAAGAACTGACTGCTGTTGTTCATTCGTCTTGTTGTTTGTCTGCGTGACCGGCAGCATCTATGGGCGCTCGACGCTGGTCTGGAAAACACGCTCTCGAGCCAAGAGATGGTTCATCGCTCAGCACGTCGCGTGGGTCTGGATGTTCCAGACTTGTACACTGAGACGCAGGCAGACGAGGAGCGCAAGAAGGCGGCGGCGGCGGCCGAATACCTCGCCAAGAAGCGGATGAATGAGACCGCGGCAGGCCAGTGACCCTATTTCGTAGGCCGCTAAGAGTCGTTTAAACAGCAGCGCAAGCAGCAGCTTTGGGCTCTACTGGACAATACGGGTTTGAAGTTGACAATTGGTTCATTGACTTTGACGTTGTTGGTGAGGAGCTCGGAAGACCTGCTTGATTCAGCATTGTTGATGAGATTAGCAAAATTAAAACAGAGGTGCTGGACCGAGCACAAGCACAAGCGTAGAGGTAACTTGACACCGGCCGACACGGCCGTGCTTCTAAGTACTTTCATCGCCGAGGTCGTCTCGGGACGCAGCCTGCTCTGATGACAAGGTAGTGAGCACGACGCGACCTTGCCGGATGTCCATGATAACCAACCGATAGTGCTTTCCCTTCTCCGACAAGACGAGGAGCTCAGTCGATGAAATGCCGCAGATGACGGCTGCATATTCACTCGATACAGAATAGTTGAGCACATACACCTCGTCGCCTTCCTGGAAGATCCAGTCTCGATACAGAAACTTATTGCGATAGAATTTAGCTACTGGCGTGACTGCCAATTGCCAACATGCAAAAGTCTGTCAGTGACCAGCGCAACAGCACAAGGGTGCATGCACATATAGTTGCGTACCAGTGTCGAACTCCATGCGTCGTTTCTTAGTCGTCACATAAACGCTCGTGAGCTCGCGCACATCGTGGTCGATCTCTGACTGCCCCAACTCCTTCTCTAGAGGCTGAAAGACATGCCCAGCCCGCTTCTTGATCTTCTGTGCCGTGTCAAGGATGAGCCCTAGATCTGGACCCGCTTTCGTGCGGGTGCTGCGTGTCTTGCGCGTTGTGGTTCGGACTGCAGCAAATTACAAACACATGGTCGTCAGGGATACATCGAATACGCATACATCGATAAACAGCATCGTGAGGATGTGCAATGACTCGAGATCCTACCGCAACTTTGACCTCCTTTGCGCTGGTCATTCAAAATCTCCATCTCATGGTGAATCTCCTCCAGCATGTCCTGACGCAGCTTCTCGCACTGCAGATCGTACTCCGAGTTGGCTTCATCGCACTCGTAGTTAAAGATCACGGCCGTGCCATGCTGGAAGTACTCGTTTCGTTGTCTTGCTACCTCCAACAAATGATCGCGTTCTCTTGCCGCTTCTCGCAGTCTCTCGGTCATATCCGGATGTGTCTCGTCCATAATCTGTCGTCGTGCTTTTTCCACAAACTGCACCTGCACTTGCAATCGCCGTTTCATCTGCTCAACTCGATTCCTTGACGCTTCGATTGCACTCCCCGTGACGCTATGAGTGCCACGCCCGTCCCCGTCACCGCCCACAGCAGTCACTCGACTCACACCACCAGCATTGCTGCGCGCCACCGCCTCGTCTTGTCGCGTTGTTGTCTCCTTGTCCACAGTTTCCGTCCTTCTCTTCCCTTTCGACTCGTCATTGGCTCCGGTCGTCGCTGAGACTTGAGCTCTTCCGCTTGCGGCTTTTGCTGGCGTCGCCATCTCCGAGTCACGGAGCTGCTCCACCACGACCGTCGACATGGTAAGAGCGCCAGCGGACCACCTCCAGCGCACGTATAGCTACAGTGTCCAGTCCTTGAGAGCTGCTGGAAAAAAAGACGCCCAGCCACTCGTCTCGCACGAAAACGACGAGCACTAAAATCTCTCTCTGAGCTGCCGAAAGCTGCACGACGAGCGACTCGATCGACCGGTTTCGCTGCGCGTTGCACTGCCGTTGCAGCGCCAATTGTCAAAGTCAGTGGACGATCGGCTGCTGAGCGAGTCGCAACGTGGTGCGGTGGGGGTCTCTCTCTATCTTTCGCACTCGCGCGCTCTCTCTCTCTCTCTCTCTCTTGTGCTGTAACGTCTGTTTTCGACTGCCCGACCCTCGCGCGGCTCTTGTGAGCGGGTGATGAACTGGGAATAAGGTGACGCTAATGTGCACATTGTGTGGGCTACATCGGCTCACGACTTCAACGAGCAGATTACTCTGCGGTACTGGACACTCGGCGGTCATCGGCCTGGCTCTGAGGCAAGAAACGAAAAAGGGTGACGTCGAGCAAGACCACAGTGCGGTCGTGTCGAGCAAGACAACTTTCCTGCAGAGTGCTTTTTGACCGCTTTTCTTTCTTCCCACACACGACGATATCGAGCAAGTATCCTTTTCATGAGAAGCCGTAGACGTCCCAAACCAAAAGACCATTGTGATACAAGGGCAAGGAATTTGTCCGTGCAGAGGCACAACGGCTTCGCATCGGGTGCGCTCAAGTCGGGCTGTCACTTTGGTCTCATCGTGATCCAGTCAATGCGATTATAGTTGTAGGCCACTCGAGTGATACGTTGCCGAGAGCAACAGCTTGTGAACTGCCAGTCAGGTGCAAAAGCGTTGCAACTTTCTGGCACTGAGAAGTTAAGACGATGTTACAAGGCGATCATAGTGTTTCAGTTGCGCTGTCGATGTTTGCTGCATAACGAGGTAGTGTCCGATGTTCCGATCAGTTCGAAATTGACGCACTGCTTCGCTGAATAGCGCAGACCAATTCATACGCCATGAACGTTTGAGCTATTGCCAAAACAATTGGAGCCCTGTGCAAAGCTGAATGACTCTTCTGGTTGATGACTGTGGATCAGTGCCCATTTGCTATGTGACGCTCAGGATGTGTTGCATCGACTGTTGCCAAGCGACGCGGTTAGCCGACTGGTCAATGACCTCGTCGCGTATGCAAGATGACTAGAAGTGACACTTGACATCACTCGTACAGCCAAAAAGTCACTGCGACCGTTGCAATGCACATACAAATACATAGATCAATCGAAATTGACAGTCGTCGGGGCCCACACAAACTCACATTTCAAGCATAAAAATGAGCTTTGCTACATACCAAATAGAAATTGAATGGAATATTTCATTCCGTCGAATTGCTATTTTATGCAACAAAGTTCAGGAACGCATAGCGTATTAAGTGCACGCAGAAGCTTATTAGATCGTAACTTCGCTATCTACGCCCACGGAATGTATTGAAGCTGAGCTACGGGCATAGTGCAATACGACAAAGTGTTTGGTCACAAGAGTGGAGAATGGGTTACCCTTCAGTCAACACAACCCATGCAAGCGCATGAGAAAGCAGCCACGTACACGGCCATGTACACGGCCTACGTCGAACAAGAAGAATGTTTTGTTCCACCGGTTATAGCATGTGTATATATCAGAATGAGTGAAACTATGCGAGCCATTGTACGACATTAAACTTGGTATAGATCAAGATAAACATGTTCGTATCCAATGATGTTCGAAAGGTAATATCGACGTAATGTCACCTTGATGGCAGCATTTCGCAGCCATTGGTGGTACGCTGCTCATTCGTTGTTGTAGGCCATGATTGTAACCAAAACTACCGCCTATTTCGCCCATACGCGCGCAAACTAGTAGTGAGTGGGTATTAACGCACTTACTTGTTTCAAAGGGAGGGGCGGTGCAGCAGGCTAATCTTTAATATGATGACTGCCGCTTCAATCCCCCAATGGAAAATTGAAAGCCTGTGGGTGACAATCGCAGTATGATTCCCACAGTAGCTGAAAAACCTGCCACTACCTCTCAAAAACCATGGTTGGAGTAAACCGGATAAAGTGAGTCGTTTGCGTACCCGAATATACCTCACCTAACCAATCTAACAAAGGTTAGCTTAAACAAGGTTTTAAAATAATTTACATCATATTATCAAGATGTTCCGTGTTCATTTCGCTTCGTTCTTCGATACGCACAGTTCTTGTGCGTTATTCTGGACATCGTTCCTCCTGCACTATGTGTAAGTGAAACTAACTATCACGTATCCACGCCTTCATCAGTGTAAAATGTATATACTGTCTCCAAATCATCAGAACGTGCATGTTGACATCTGGCATCAAATGGTGATCCGTTCACTGACAATGTCAACATCCACCGTCAAAACTGCAGGTATGCAAATTATATCGTTATGCGCGTGACATCATTTCCACGTTGGTGACTTCGATGACAAACAGTTCAGCAAATGGAGGTATTCGTGGTGATGTTTCGACAAACGCATGATCTCCACCCGTAATCTAGACTTGCAATATAGATTAATGGACATCGTCTTTCAGTACAAAAGGTAGCGTCCTAAGAAGAGAGGGGCCAGTAAGGACCGGGTTGCTTATTGGCGAGCTATTGAAAAGGACAGGCGAACAGATGAAATAGACGAATGGGTGCAGCAAGGATCAAAAGCATCATAACATTTGACGAAAGAGGAAACAGATGGTGCGCTGGTTCAGCAAGTTGGCATCGACTTCGATCTTTGAGTATATATACCACCAATCGAAATAGGCAAGAGGCTTCGTGTTTAAAGGACTGTTCATTCAATGATGTCATCAAAAGTTGTTCTGTCGATGATTGATATGTGATATGCCAAACCTGTCAGTCCGTGCCACCATCGAGGTCCTCAATATTCACAAAAATTCGCTTTTGGACCGTATCAAGGATAATGATAGAACTTCTAAGCTGACTTTTGACACTCTTCGATCTAAATTGAGGGCCCGAGCCAAGACCTTGTAATTTACTCAGGTCTATTATGTAAGACCTATGCGCTTATGTTCATCACACATGATATCTCGTGCTTTGTAAGGCGGTGGTCCCATCGATACTCCTACGAATGTCGAAATGCTCAGTGAGGGCCCCACGAGTAGTTTCATGGAGACCTATGATTTACTCTGTTACGACATACGCCTGGCTAAATGACCCATGTGTCGTGATACGAGCACCTTGACACAGACAGTCTTAAGTCGTATAAATTCAAGTCTGTTTGTTTGGCAAGACCTTAGAGGTCATACTCCACGGATCTCTGATATTTGAAAGCAAAACGATTCATCAACAAATCAAGATAACTTTCCAAGGTGTACTTGCTGTCAAATCAAAGTTCAGTAAACCAAAGATTGTAGCAGGGTGCACTCGATACATCGAAAATGAGCGGAAGATCCAGAATTATATGTCAAAGCTAGAGAAAAAGACCTGCCTTTATCGCGAAGACGAAACAGTGATGTGGACTATTGAACACCTCGTGCCCAGTTCGTGGATAGGTGTCACAAACTGGCGTACGATGTATGGGCAGGTTTTCGGACGAATATTGTTTGCAACACACAGCCTTCGATCGTACCGCCATTGATGATGAGTTATCTCTAATCGTCTAAAATATGGAAGTGACGAAGGTATAGTTCACCTCGCTCCCTAAGGTTTAACAAAGGAACCGATGTTTTTTTACTCAGTGACTCGATGATCTCAGTCCCTCTTGCAAGGAGCGCAACACTATGTCGAAGCAAATGATGGTGTGTACATTACTATCAGTTGCGCGAGTAATACAACATGTCATGTAAAGCTGATGGACGTGAGGATGTCGCAGCAGATGTCGTCTTCATCATACTAGCCCAATGGCAAGTAAAAGACACACCTCGATGTTTTGATTTGATTGACACGAGTCATTCGAGCTGAAATATCGAGGTGATCATGTTAAAGACGTCCAATTCTCAGAATACCTACCGCCTTTTAATCCGAGAGTCACGAGCCTTCGTTCAGTCCGAAAAGTCTTATTATCAAACGATTCCCGTTTGTTTACAATGTGTTCACCTAATTAGAGCTTGTGACTTGAACATTGCGGTTTGACACATATTCGATCCAAGGACAAGGGTTGACAATCTTCATGAAAAAAATGCTACGAAAGGCTTTGCGTGAATATCCCTGTGCATTGCTCAGTATCAGTCTGAAACCAAGTCGAAAATTCTGATGTGAAGGAAAGTAATTGAGTCGGTCCGTTCGCCAATTGAATGGCTCAACAGTTCTGCAGCTCATTAGTCCAAGTAATAGAAAAGACGATCATATCTTGGCAAAATAGAAATTCACAAAGTAAGAAGTCAGCACCGTATCGACTTGTACAAGACAAAATTTATTGTGGAATGTGATCAACATCAGGAACGAAATAAAATCTGTTTACCAGCCAGAGTTATCCAAACGATTATGCATCTTTACTATTAGACCGGCCACATCAACTAGCACCTTATATGTATCACAAATGCTTCCAAAAAAATTAACGAATAATTTTCACTTATTAAATCATATATGCCAATCTGTCAAATACACTTGCAAATATGAACTATCACAAAACCAGAGTATGCATTCGATTGCTTCATTGTCAATAGCATGGCTATGCCGCTATATAATTATTTGCAACTTCAATAGGCCGAAAGTTTAGACAGATCGACACTCCTAAACGGAGACATACATAGCAATTGATCGGCAAGCATTTTCCTTTATAGCCGTCAAAAGTACTAATCTGTTAGATTTTTCAGCCCTATCTTTTGGGTGCTTATTTGTGATAAGCAGGCAACGGCATCGATACAATTGTTCGTATGATATTTTCTCCACCATTTGATATTCCACGAGGCTATCACTATGTAAATTCAAAGTGCCTTTTAATAGAGCACCACCATATTATTTAGATTTAGCATCGATTAACTTGATCATCGACTCAAATCTTAGC